AATTATATTTAATAAAAGTTTTAGTTCTTTTTATGAAAAACTTTAGTTTATGTAAAAAGTAAGTAAAAATGGAAATATGGCCCACTCTTAATGTAGGCGCCGGGCATAGGCGTTGTCAAATTTCAAAAATAACAAAATTGAGCTCAGTATATCTAAAATTGGAGTTTATGAAGAAAACGACTTTTTCGCAGAAGGGGGTGAGGTCAAATTAAAAAAAAAAAAAATTCAACAAAAATAGTTTAAGCATATATGCAAAATTTGAGCCCAGTATCTCTAAAATTGGAGTTAAAACCAAAAAAACCCCGTTTCGACCGTTGCGATGCACTATAGCTTTGGAGGGGGTGTTTTACACAGCAAACTCCATGACGCGTGAGTTGGAGTGAGCAGAGCTGGTGTGCAAGATAGTGCCCTTTGGCTTTCAGCGGGCAGTAGAGCTGAGTGGCTCTTAATCGTCGATTCTTCCATTTCGGTATCGCAGGTTGAAAAGTAAGAGTGGAAGCCGTTTCTTTGGTTCACTGAGCTTCTACACTTGTTCTTTTTCTTGTTGCTCAATGAGTTCATTGCGTGGCATTTATTTGTTTAAAGCAACTATCTACTTTTTTATGGTGAATTGCGATTAATTTGCAGTTTTCCCGGAGCTCGAGCAAACCAAGTCCGCTCAGTTCGGTAGTTGGTCAACTGAGCTTAAAATGAATATAAAGTATTGAAAAGATTGCATTCACTTTTTCGGTCAGTCGGTCGTTTAATGAATCGCTCTGTGCAAGCGTCAGTCATGTCTCTTAGTGGGCGATATTCAGTAAGAGAGAATCTTACGAACCGCTCAACCAGAACCAGATTTGGTATTTTTTTTTTTAATTTTTGTGATCTAAGATGATTTTTTAATGAAATTCTTATAAGGATCGGCTAACTTATTAAGGTCGCTATATAACTAAAGAGGAGGAAAAATCCTTAAAGGCAAGACCGCCACTTGAAAATGAATTGATACTTACAAAACCTGCGAAAATTCTTCGAACTTACTTGACCACCCTTCACCATAGAATTTTATTGGACGAGTTACGCAAAGATAGTCCGTTATTAATTAGCCAATATAATTCAGGATCTAAACGAATAAAAATAGTTAACTATTAGATTTTGTATTCTGCAGTGAATCAAATTTGGCTCCGCCCAAAGTATGCTTTCCTTTCATGTTTTTTTTACAATTTACATACATTGCAAAATGATCAGCCGACATCTGCTAAAAGCAATTTTAGCCTTGCATACGCCAACACCAATTTTAAAGCCAATTTCAAACTAAAAGGCGCTCTTAGATTTCGGTAGCCGAAATATTTCAACTTTGGTGGACAAACCGATCCGAGGTCTAGTAGATCGTCAGCAGTATGTGCGAGCGCCACATTTGCCGCAGAACTCAGATCCTTTAAAGTTTTGGAAGCTAAATTTGTTTTAAATCTTATGTCGATTTTAACCATAGCTTGTAAATAACTTTTAACCGATTGCTGAGGTCTCAAAATTAGTGTTGTTCAATGAGTCTTTGAGCAAAAAGTATGTGTTTTTAGTGTTTTTTTTTTGCATGTATGTTAGAAACTTAGTGGGTCTTGTTTAATTTGCCTTTGTGACATTTGGATATTCAGAGAAAGTACTTAAAACGAAAAGGGAACAGAGAATAAACAAAATTAGAACTTTGACAAAATGTATTGAGTCGCGCGGTCAGTGAGCCGTGAAGATTTACAAAAACAATGCTACACAAATTCCGAGGCAGGTAGCGGACCCGACCCCGTGGTCCCGAGTTTGCAACAACAATTATTAAGGGTCCGTTTGCGCACAAAGCGACGACAACCATCGCGAGGATGGTGGTTGTTGTTTTAATTTGTTGTTTGGCCGAGCTGCGGCTCCGACCGTTAGATTTCGTGCCCACCACTGAAGTATTGAAAAGACTTATTGCGTTCACTTTTTTGGTCAGTCGGTCCTTTAATGAATCTCTCTGTGCAAGCGTCAGTCATGTCTCTTAGTGAGCGATATTCAGTAGGAGAGCATTTTACGAATCTCTCAACGTAAAACACTCAACCGAAAACAAAAATGAAAAGAAAGTTCCAAGAAGTCAAATTCTTTTTCGGTTGTTCTCATAAACTGAACATAAGGAGAAAAAAGGTCAACAGTTACTTGCGAGCTATGATTTTAGCTCATAAACTTAATTTTAGTATGCTCCTAATTTAAACTTAAATACTACATCCAAACCATTTTTAGTGCAAGCGTATGCTTCATTTAAATCATTTATCATCATTATGCACATGAGGTTGTTGTCTAAAATAGCGCCTTTCTGATTAGCTCCATAAATAACATTAAAATAAGTTTTTTTGTTTCTTGCTTTTTTCTAATGACTAAAAAAATAGTTTTAGTTTAATACCATTAACCATTACTATTACCATAAGGAAAACATTAAAAATAAAAAAAAAACTTAATTTTCCCAGCTCTACGAAAAAGATTCGTTCGTTTAAAAATTTTATCGGGTAAAAAAATTATTATAAGCACATTTTGAAATATTTCGTCATTAAAATTGATATAAAATATTTTTGACGCGTCATGCGCGCTTGTCACCACTACTTCACCTCGTCAAGGGTATTTTCATTTGATATTTACTATTCTTATCACCCAAGTAAATGAACGACGCATTGTTAACGCAATATAGTCAAATAAATGATAAATAAATGCGATTATCAAGACAAAAAGCTGTTCAAGCTTTCTCTCTCAGGCAAATCAAACAATTCTTAACATCTACAAATAGTGCTGTAGTCCAACACGAAACCTCATTCAGAAATTTTTTTTAAACTTTAATTGACAACATCTTCAACTATTTTAAAAACGGTAAATATTTTACAACGGTCTACATTTTTGAAAATGCAACCTTAAAGGAATAGAACATATAGTAAAAAAAAAAATACTGTTACGCTTGATTAAAGTGAACCAATAGTCAAATTAAAAATATCATGTATAATAAATATTCGTCCATCCGTTTAAGATACGATAACTTATCGAAGTCGAAATACGTACGGTACCGAAACAACTATTGACATCCTAATGGTATTTTTTTTAAATGAAAAATTCATGTTTGTAACAAATTCTTATTAATTTATTAAACCATTTTGTACACCTTTTAATAAAAAAAGAAATGTTGAAAGTAAAATATGTGGAGACTAAGTATAATGAAAACAAATAAAAAATATGAAACAATAACAGGAAGCCAACTTCGGGCGGATACGAAGCCTATATATCCGTGCAGTATTCACCAGCAACTTGCATAAAAAATGGGGCAAAAGACTTTAATATCAATATAATCGTAAAAAATTTGTAAGACACATATAAAACCAATTTTTGGTGATTCCTTTTGGTATACTTTTGTTAGTAAAAGGCTGAAATACCTATGAACAGATGTTTGGGATCAAGGTAAAATTTAAGCTAAAAGTTAAACTGTGTTTCCTGCTTTTTTTAAAGCCTAGTACTGAGTTGACGAAAATCCGCTGTCGCACGAGTGACAGCTGTCAAACTCCATATAAAAAAAACGGTGTAAAAAAAGGAAGAAGAAGAAATTTTTGTCTCCTAGATTTTTTCGGTACTCTGACGACGAAAAGTTTTGGTTATCGAATTGAATGCCGTTGCCGGATCAAAAAAAATAAACAGCTGATTTTGGGGTGTTGAAAGAATTAATTTTATTTATTTAGATAGGTGAAACATGGAGAGAAAATTGATAAAAGGAAAAAATAGTCGGCCCGAAAAATTTTCGGCGCGCGAGGATAAATTGAAATTAATTAGTGCGGTAAGGGCGAAGCCCATAATATAGGATTTGACCCGCAAGGGGCATTTTAATGCCATAAAATGGCATTGAAATGATTTGTGATTGATTTTGATTTTGACCCAGTTTTCTTTTTCTTAATCAGCTCCTTAGCGGCGAAATACATTAACAAAACACCAACATCCAATCGTTTTGAATTCATTTTTGTTTTTTGTTTACAACCAACAGCTGTTCAGTATTACCCTTTTTTTTTGGTCACACTAGCTCGGTTTCGCCAGCGGATTTTCGTCAACTCAGTACTAGGCTTTATATTTTAAATAATTACACTACCAACACTTACACTACCAGTTGGTATTTTTACCAAATACCATTTCCGACCGTTGAATGATTTTAAGATGAGATGATTTTAAGGACACATAAATTAAAAACAAAAAATCCACATAAACTCAATTTGGCTCGTTTAAAAGAGTTTTAATTTCCAAAATAATAATAATATTTTGTCCAAAAGATATTTTTTTTTAAATAACTTCCTGTACGCGGTCAGGCATGTTATCTACCAAAATTTCATTATGTCTTTAGGAAAACGTATCCATTTAGCTACAACACGCTCCCAAAGGTTGCCACTGTTTGATGGACCTGTTTCGTACTGCCCGAGCCGTCTTTTCCAAAGATTTTGAAAAGATTTTGGAAAGACCAAAGATTTTCAATCGGATTGAGGTCGGGACTTTGTTCTGGCCTTTCCATTAATTTAAAAGGTTGCTTCCAATCCATTCCTTAACAATTTTTGAAGTGTGCTTTGGATACCCATCTTGTTGAAAAACCATTTCTTTTTCGGAATAAGCACGTATTTCAATAAAATTGAATAGATTGGTCTGCAAAAGTTTTAGGTAGTCCTCTTTCTAATACCTTCTATTAACTGCATAATTAATAGCACTCTATATCGCGCTTTCAAAAATCGTGATTTCCATCGCATAAACATAGCAAAAGTGGGGAAACTCGAAAATAGACGTATTTTCTCGTTTTAAATTTTTTGAGAACATTTGAGGTAAAGAATTCCTCTTATCGTTTCGGCGGGTTAAATAATTACAAATTGTACACGTTTCCAAAACAAATGGAGTTTGAAATCTTTTTTTACTTCTGGTATCTTCAAAGTCGCCGCGGTGTGGCAGCACAACGTATAGAGTATATTCCATATAGTGTGCTGAAGTGAAACTGGCATTTTATTGTACAAAGAAATACCACAGAGTGTTGTACACCCACAATTCTATAAACTAGAAATCGCTGGTAACTCAGAATTAAAATAAATATTCGGCGACATCGCGCGGCGTATTTACTTAGATCGTGTACAATTAAAACATAATTGTGTATGTATATAATTAAAACTGTTCAATTAGCCAATTAAGTTTTTAGTCTATGTATATAAAATACTAGGGAATGACATGGATATAAAAGATCAGATATGTCCACACATTACTTAGTAAGCAATCTGCATTTTAATAGTGGCATGACTAACAAATGACAGACTATTGAGACCAGAACAATTTGATGCATTGGATCTCTCGTCAAAAGTTGATCAAAAGTTTATAATTTTATTCCAATACCAGTGCTAACATTTATACGTTCATGTCGTGACGTATGACGTAAGATAACGATTCCATTTATGCAAATTAAAGTACATACATATTTACACGTACAAACGTACATATTCAAATGTTACAATTAATTTATATTGTATAACTCTGAGCGCATTAGATTAAAAGTCCACTATTGTATCTAATACAAAAAATGCAAAAAATTTATCTTAAAAATTAATAATGTTTAAATTGATTTTTTGCACTAGTCTTGACTCTTTTAAAGTATGAGAATATGTTCAAATTTGATCTATGTAACCATATAATTGTATGTAATACGTACCAACGCTTTACGTATTTATTAAAGTGTTTTAAAACGTATCCATATGTATGTGTATGTAAATGGGGTCCTATCTATTTATGGACGCCACTCATACCTTGTCATGATATACACTATTACATATGTACATACATACACATTTAACCTGCTTTTTTTGGTTTTTACTAGTAATGTTTTGATAATTTGACGTCAGTGAACTTTATCAAACTGGCTTATCAGTTAAAAAAAAACGTTAAATGTATTTTTTTGGGTCACAATTTAAGCGGAAATTTAATGCATATCTGGAGAATTACATACATACGTATGTATCATAAAACTAATTAATACCATTCACATGGCCTTGCCCTTAATGCGAGACATACTCGAAATATATTTTGTTCTCTCTAGTTTTGTTTTTTTATCATTATGAAGTTTCTACAACTCAAAGTAGATACATCCATACATACAATTGTGTAGGTTCGTATTATATGTATGTGTGCATCTAATACAATAAAATTCCCAAATTTTTGAAGTAATTTAGACTTATTAAGGCTTCTCTCCTTTATTATTATCTAATTCAAATATATATTTCACAAAACTATTAAAAATTAAAAGATTTAGTTTCAAAAAAATTGTTCATATAAGCTCATATGTACATACATACAATGTATATTTACAAATGAATGTACATATGATATGTACATACATATATACAGTGGGTCGCAGCTTATTTCGTGCAGGTGAAAAAAAATGTCGCTTTTTCCGCTAAACAAATAGGGATATTTCAAAAATTTAAACGCAATATTTTTATTTGGGATATTAACATATTCAATGTTAGCCAACTATATCCGATTTTTACTATATACCATATTTACTATATACCATATGGTATATACCATTACTATATACCAGCTCTTAATGCACGGGTTTATCAACATCGGCTCCACCCGAAGTTAGCTTTCCTTTCTTGTTTATTTTTTTTAATTTTTCATCCGGAAATCTGCCTCTTTTTAAATATAATATTAATGCCCTATTTTAAATAAATTTTCAATACATTCTGAGATTAAAGGCCAAATAATTTGGGAAAATATTGAAAATACTTCAAAATTTTGGTCAGAAGTGAAGAGGTATCGGGATTCTGCAGGCAACAACCCCTATGAGGACCTGGTGAAGTTTGCTCTCAGCCTGCCAAATGCTGAGGTAGAGTGAGTTTTTAGCCAAGTAAACTTGGTGAAAACCAAAATTAGGAACCGTTTAGGGGTAGATACATTAAATGCCATATTGGCCATGTATTCTTTCTTCAGATTCGGATTGCGTCGCCATAAATCAGAGGTCTGCACGGCCCTATCTCGGGGGCATAGGAAATTTCTCTGCCCGAGCTCTGCCACACACACACAGTATACATGTGTGAAACGTCATGCTCACAGCCTACTTTCTGCTATTCGTTACTAACACTAATGCGGTAAAATCATATCAATGTATTGGGGTGCCGACCACTGCCATATATTATTTTGTCATAATTATAACTTGCCTGAAAAGTATCCAATTATTTGGCTCCATGGCTACTTATGAGAACAGCAATACTAACGAGGAAAAAATAATCGAAGATGCCTTAAGGGGACCCCCCCATTCTCGATTTTAAATTTTGACGATTTTCAATGGGCTGGCAAATGAACATAAATTGTTTTTTAGGGTTGTAACTGTGCATACATATATTAAGACATAAAAAGGAAGAAAACCATTTAACAGAAATTTTTTTTTTGTGTTTTTTTTGTTTTTTGTGATGAAAGAAAAAGCCGCCTTTTCGGCGGCTCATGTGATTTCCGCTCACTGGAACATCTGAATCCAAAATTCTGAATCCAACGAGATTAGAAAGAGTACATGTTTGGCTCTGGTATGAACTAGGATTGTTAACTTTGCTCAAAAATTAACAAAATAACGGACCTTTGTAACTTATTTTTTAAAAACTGACCACAAATCAAGCTGAAAAGTAAAGAAGATCTTCACCGATTTGATTTATCCTAGTTCATACCAGAGCTATATATGTATAGAATAACGTGTTAAAATTTGGAACCAATTGGATTAATAGTTTTTGAGTAACCTCATGCGCCAGTCGTAAAAACACTGTTTCGAGATAAACGCGTTCAAAGTTTTGAGACTGCTCTCGCCGTCGCCTGACGGTTCCACCATAAATTAGCTATATCTTCAAGAGTTTTTGAATTTTTCACTTGAAATTTAATAGTTTTTAAATAGTCACATTCTTAAATAGTTAATAGTTCGAAAAAAAAACTATGTTTTTTAAAAACCGAGAATTGGGGGGGTGGGGTTCCCTCTCTTAATAATAAATAATAAGATTAGTGTAATCAAACTTTTTGTATTTTCTTCTTCCCTTTTAAAAATATTTAAAAAGTAAATTTAAATATTAAATGTAAATTTGGTTTAAAATATTTTCATCCCATTTTTCCTGTTTTTTTTCTCAATCTGTCGTTTTTTTTTTTTTGAAATATTGGATTGGCATCACTGAAGAAGAACCGCTAAAGTTTAGGGGTATCTTATATCTTATATATATCTTATAGCTGCCATATAACTGAACGATCGGAAATGGTTTTTGGTAGAAATACCAACTTTGGTATTTTTGAAGATAGAAGCTTGGGACTTTATTTTAGATAATTTAGGTTTTATTATGGGATTCTTATAAGGATCGGCCAACTATATCCAATGTTTGCGTTATATATCCGGTTTTAACTGCAAGGGTATATCAACTTCGGCTCCGCCCGAAGTTAGCTGTTCTTTCTTGTTTTTTCTTTTTTTCATTTTTTGAATTATTTAAATCATAAAAATTATATTACTGTGTTTTACAGATTGGATCATTCAAATGGCAACTGTAGATGGAAGACCGGCAAAATATGGCATTTCTCTTAAACAGTTACGTGAGCTCATGGAGCATCGCGGGCGAGAGGGTGTAACTAAGATTGAAGAGTTCGGTGGTATCCACGAACTGTGCAAAAAGCTATATACATCTCCTAATGAAGGCAAGAATTTTATAATTGCATAAACTCATTTTATAATAAACGATTTTTCAAAGGTTTTTTTATTTAATTTTAAATTGACATAATTTAATGTGGTCATTCAATATGATGCCGATAAAAAATATTATTTTAAATAAATTTAAAAGGTTATGAATAAAATATATAACACATATATTTAATAATAAGAAGAAATATATGTGTGTTTTTCGAAAATTTAAATATTATACTATTGAAGCAAAAGGATCCGGCTAACTTTAAACGCTTTTGATTTAAAATTGTGGTCGGCAGGGACCTATCCCAGGGGCATAGGAAATTTCTCAGCCCGTCATGCTCGCAGCCTACTTTCTACTATTCATTACTATTCATTTTCAAAAATTCAATACAAAGAATACATTTCAACGAAATTCAAAGTTAAGTTTCAAAATCAGGCCATTTTGTCAAAAATGGAAATCCTTCCTGCATTGTAACCTTTATTATTTATTTATTATAAATTTATAATAATAAATTTATTATAATTTATTAAATTATGTTAGTGTTTGATATTTTAAACGGACAAAAACAAGATCACTGCTAGGGACACCCCTTCTTCATCATGTATTGAAAAGTATCACCCAGTCGGACCTAGCGATCGCCAAGCATAATTTTGGCGTTCGGAAATGGCAATCTCAGCGGGCTCCCATCTGCGTCAATCCTTCATTGGATATAACATTGGCGTTGCCGCTTTTTACACCTAGCGCGTCGATTAGTGATCACGTGGCGAGCACTTAAAGAAGCTTGTTACACTCAGCTGTAACGTTCTCGGCTCTTTTATGCTAAAAGGAGAGAGAAAAAAAGTCCGTATGTCTGTCTGTCTGTTTCTACGCGAACTAGTCTCTCAGTTTTAAAGCTATCGTCTTGAAACTTTGCACACCTCCTTCTTTCCTTGCACGCAGTATATGGTATAAGTCGGAACGGCCTGGATCGGCCGACTATATCCTATAGCTGCCATATAACTGAACGATCGGAAATGACCCATCTTTTGTATTTTTTAAGATAGAAAGCTGGAACTTAGTACAGATGATATTTTTGGTTAGATAATCCGACCTACAAAATTTCATAACGATCGGCTGACTATATCTTATAGCTGCCATATAACTGAGTGATCGAAAATGGTTTTTGGTAGAAATACCAACTTTGAAGATAGAAGTTTGGGACTTTTTTTAGATTATGTATTATTATAAATTGGGTTATATTATCATATTCTCATAAGGATCGGCTAACTACATCCGATGTTTGCGATATATATCTGGTTTTAACTGCAAGGGTATATCAACTCCGCCCGAAGTTAGCTTCCCTTTCTTGTTAAATCTTAAAATTACAAATTTTTATACCCGGTACTCGTAGAGAACAAGGGTATTTTGTAGTCGTGTAAGCAAATGTAACATAAAGAAGTAATGATCTCCGAGTCAGCATCAAGATCCGAGTCACTATAGCCATGTCCCTCTGTCCGTATGAACGCGTGAATCTCAGAGACTATAAGAGATAACATAGAGCTTTAGGATAGTTAATATATATCTATAGTTAATATATATAAAAAAATTAATTTCATTCCCATTTAGAGGAAAGTCGATTTTTAGAGGAAAATTTTAACGCGTAGATTTAAAAAACGCGAAAAAGAGATAATATAAGATATAAGAGATAGAGATATCTGATTTAGAACTTGGACTCGTATGGTCTTCATGCACATCATGGTTTCAGACAATCTATTTGCATCTCTAATCTTTGCCATGAACATTGTGGTCCTCTGCATTCTCCCCCAGCTAAGGCGCTCCACAGAGCACAGTCGGTCGGCGGCCGGCAGAACCGAACTCCTCATCGCAGCAGCAATCTTGCAGCCTCAAGCAGCCAGCGTGATTACTCGCATCTCATGCCTTTGCCAAGGAAAAAGCTGCTTACTGTATGGGGGTTATTCCATGGAGTGGCTAGAGTGGCTGGAAAGAGTATGGAGTCTGGGCTTTCAACATAAGGAGTACGTTTAGTCTTGTATTAGAAGAAAATCTATATATATAAAAATGCTCTGTTCGTATCTACGTCATTTATAGACTTGAAAAGTTCTGAACCGTTCTGAGCCCAAATTTTTACTTAACATGCGTTGAGGTTCCAGCTCGGTTCCAGCTGTCTACTTTTGATGTTGATAGCTTATCTGAGTTTGCGAATATATCAGTTTTTTTTCGCGTTTCCCCGTGCCCCTACTTTTCTATTTAGGCAGACAGCTAAGAAGAAAATGTCAAATGAAAATGTCAAAATGTCAGAAACGAAGTCATTAGAAACGAAGTCATGCCACCCAAGAAGTCGAATTTTGGTCGTCTTACTCGCAATACAAAAGCAAAAAGACGTAACATTTCGAATAGAACTGACGAAGAGCGGGCCTCCATTCGAGAGACTGAGCGGCTGAGAGCCATGCGGATGCACAACGCGGAGACAGCAGAAACGCGAGCAGCTAGGCTTGAGCGAACACGATTGAGAGTTAGGCAGTCGCGTTCTGCAGCAATCGATTTGATTCGGTCTCAAAATAATGAACGCGACAGGGCAAGGGTAGCTGAAGCGCGTTTACAGCTTGCAACAGATCGAAACCTGCAATACAATTGTCTTGCATTCAGATATAATCCAACTGTTGATTATAGCTCGAATCGCAATGTCGTTATTGGCCGGATGAATCAGGTCTGCACACACTGTCAGGCTCTCAAATTTAAGGGGCCCATCCACAGGCGAGCATGTTCGTCAACATGCTCGCCTACTTGAATTTCATTTTCCCCACTAACTAGAGCCAACATTCGCGCGAACATCATTTTTCGATAAATTTTCAAACCATCAATATGTCAACGGACAACTATAGCGGCACTCTAATTGCACTTATGGCAATAAGTATTTGCCATAAATAATATTGCAAAATAATATTGCACTTTTTATACCCTTGCAGAGGGTATTATAATTTTGTCCAAAAGTGTGCAACGCAGTGAAGGAGACATCTCCGACCCTATAAAGTATATATATTCTTGATCAGGATCACCTCCTGAGTTGATATGAGCATGTCCGTCTGTCCGTCTGTCTGTCCGTCTGTCTGTTTCTACGCAAACTAGTCTCTCAGTTTTAAAGCTATCGTCTTGAAACTTTGCACACACCCTTCTTTCCTTTGCACGCAGTATATAAGTCGGAACGGCCCGGATCGGCCGACTATATCCTATAGCTGCCATATAACTGATTGATCGGAAATGGTATAACTTTGGTATTTTTGAAGTAAGAGAGTTCAAATTTTAGGTGAGAGCTATTTTTGGCAAAATAATACGACATGCCAAATTTCATAAGGATCGGCCGACTATATCCTATAGCTGTCATATAACTGAACGATCGGAAATGACCCAACTTTCGTGTTTTTGAAGATAGAAAGCTGGAATTTAGTACAGACTCTATTTTTGGTCAGTTGATCCAACCTACCAAATTTCATTAGGATCGGCCGACTATATCCTATAGCTGCCATATAACTGAACGATCGGAAATGGTATTTGGTAGAAATATCAACTTTCGTATTTTTGAAGATAGATGTTTGGGACTTTTTTTAGATTTTGTATTGTAATAAATTGGAGTATATATTCCTATTCCCATAAGGATCGGCCAACTATATCCGATGTTTGCGATATATATCCGGTTTTAACTGCAAGGGTATATAAACTTCGGCTCCGCCCGAAGTTAGCTTTCCTTTCTTGTTATTCATTTTTCTCTACCAAAACGTTTTTTCAAACTGACGTTCGTGCCAACATTGCCATCCATTGGCGAGCATGTTGTTGCAAACGTTGTCAAAATAGAACGATTTCAATTCCATTCGAACATTTTGACAACACAAAATTGGAAAAATTTCGTCGAGCAAAACATGTTTGCCGAACATGCTCGCCTGTGGATGGGCCCCTTTAACAACGAATTTCTCATGTCGAATTTTCCCATGTCGTCAGTTGTTTCATCAGAACATTGTCGATATGTATGCAAAAATTGAAACAGAACGTTTGCTGTTCCTCCGATTGAATCAGACGAAACTTCGGTCCGAGGAATATATTCATTTGCGGGATGCTGTGATGAATGACCGTAATACAACCAACGTTGGAAATCTCACGATTTTGCCATCCTCATACATAGGTAGTCCACGAAAATTTTTCTTTTTTGTTTGACTTATTTCTTATGCGTGCAATCACAAAATGCCACGGCAAAACGTGGCAGGGTACTGCTAGTTCTTTATAATTATCATATTATTAGGTTTTATATGTCATTTATAAATTCTTATATATTTGTCTTTGCGAATGTGCTGCTTACCCCTCCAAATGTGCATAAGCTCCCTATCCCTTTTTCACCCAAGGTAGGCGACCCCTCAGCTTTATCAATAGGGCACTCGTCCGCCGGGGAGGATCCTCTGTCTCACTTCGCTTGAACTCACGCGATGTTTGTCTGGCTTTCGTTGGGTTCCTTTTGCCTCTGCCGTCGTTGCGCTGCTCGGTGTGGATCGATGACTGCTCCTCTTGTTGCTGATATCGCCGTTCGTTCTCTTGCTCCCGTTTTTGTTGTCGCTGCTCGTTTCCACTCTCGGCTTACTGATTGCCGGGACCTATGGTAATTCGGGTTGGTCAATAATACGTGCACCTCCCAGGCGTACGCCGAAGAGGATCCGATGTTTTGGCAGCCGCACAAGGGCACGTAGTACCTAGTGTCACACCTGCGCCGGGAACAGCATCACGCCGGTTTGTCACGGTTAGAATTCAGTAAGGCGTATGCCAGACCGGTCCGTTTATGCGCTTCGTGGCAAGTCTATCTGCCGTGGTCGGGCAATGGCCCAACTCGACTTATGTACCCTAAGCTTCAGTGAAACTGTCCTATCACGGCTCCTTCTTCACTTGTAGCGCTTGTATCCTCTCACTTTCTCTTAATTTTCGGACTTTCCAAAGGCGGTCCTCCAGCTCAACGCTACCAGCTTCCTAAAAAGACTAGTCCCGCTTCAAACTTCCTCCTAGTATACCACCTGGAGCACCCGTTAATCCTCCTTGATTCTGATCCTGCCATTAGAGCAGCTTTCCAATATCACGCCATTCTCCTTTTGGCGGATCATCGTCCGTGGCTCCTCGCTCCCCCTAAACTCGCTTTTATTAACAGCATCCTGTCATGCCATAAATCCACCTCGCTCTTAATCGCGGTTGTGGCCCGGTTTACTTGATTAGATTTTTTGTCTAGATAATAGAGATTTCCGTAAAATTTATTATTTGTTAGGAATATTGTGTTGTTTCTAATGATTAGGGCTCCGTTTTTGCAGAAATGCACCTCGTAACCTTTCTCTGTTATTTTGAACACAGATAATAAATTTTGTCGCAGGATGGACACGTGCAGCAGTTCTTTGAAAGTTGTTTCGATATCAGATTTTCGTTTGTTGTTTCTTTTGTCACAGAATCCGTTTACCTGCGTTGTTTCTTTATTCGCCAAGATTAGCTTTTTATCCATTTTTTTCATGTTATCGAATAAGTTTGCATCTGAACTCACATGTGACTGTTGATACAACACATGTTGCTTAGGGTCACTGTAAAGCTCGCTATTTCTGTAATAGTGTTGATTCAGAATCAGTGTTGAATCTTTTTCGTTTTGTCCATTTTTTGTACCGTTCCTTCTGCTCTCGAACTCTTGACTAAGGTGCCAGATTTTACCACATGCCTAACATTTAAGGGTTTTGTTTTTCGTTGATTTTTTCCTCTAACTGTGTTCCTGAAAGTTTACGTCAGTGGGGGGCAAAACATGTTTAAAATTTGAGTGTGTGCGTAGCAGAAAAACACAATAAGGGCAGAGAATTCACTGAGGGAAAACAACGTATTTTTATACCCTTGCAGTGGGTATTATAATTTTGGTCAAAAGTGTGCAACGCAATGAAGGAGACATCTCCGACCCTATAAAGTATATATATTCTTGATCAGGATGACCTCCTGAGTTGATATAAGCATGTCCGTCTGTCTGTTTCTACGCAATCTTGTCTCTCAGTTTTAAAGCTATCGACTTGAAACTTTGCACACACCCTTCTTTCCTTTGCACGCAGTATATAAGTCGGAACGACCGGGATCTAAATCCGGGACCGGCCGACTAAATCCTAAAGCTGCCATATATCTGATTGATCGGAAATGGTATAACTTTGGTATTTTTTCAGTTACAGAGTTAGAAATTTGACATGAAAGCTTTTTTTGGCAAAATAATACGACATGCCATATTTCATAACGATCGGCCAACTATATCCTATAGCTGCCATATAACTGACGGATCGGAAATCGGACCCAACTTTCGTGTTTTTGAAGATAGAAAGCAGGAACTTTGTACAGATTATATTTTTGGTCAGTTAATCCGACCTACCAAATTTTATAACGATATGCTGACTATATCTTATAGCTGTTACATAACTGAACGATCGGAAATGGTTTTTGGTAGAAATACCAACTTTGGTACTTTTGAAGATAGATAGAAGTTTGTGATTTTTTTTGATTTTATATTATAATAAATTGGGTTATATTATCATAATTTTGGTCAAAAGTGTGCAACGCAGTGAAAGAGACATCTCTGACCCTATAAAGTATATATGTATATTCTTGATCAGGATGTCTGTCCGTCTGTCTGTCCGTTTCTACGCGAACTAGTCTCTCAGTTTTGAAGCTATCGTCTTGAAACTTTGGACACACCCTTCTTTCTTTTACACGCAGTAACGGAACGGCCCGGATCGGCCGACTGCATCCTATAGCTGCCATATAACTGATTGATCGGAAATGGTATAACTTTCGTGTTTTTAGAGTTAGAGAGTTTAAATTTGACACGAGAGCTATTTTTGACAAACCATTACGACATGCCAAATTTCATAAGGATCGGCAGACTATATCTTATAGCTGCCATATAACTGAACAATCGGAAATGACCCAACGTGTTTTTGAAGATAGGAAGCTGAAACTTAATACAGATTATATTTTCGGCCACTTGATCCAACCTACCAAATTTCATTAGGATCGGCCGACTATATCCTATAGCTGCCATATAACTGAACGATCGGAAATGGTACTTGGTAGAAATATCAACTTTCTTTTTTTTGAAGATTGAAGTTTTGTGACTTATTTTAGATTTTTTATTTTAGTTAATTGGTTTTATTATGATGTATTCATAAGGATCGGCCAACTATATCCAATGTTTGCGATATATATCCGGTTTTAACTGCAAGGGTATATAAACTTCGGCTCCGCCCGAAGTTAGCTTTCCTTTCTTGTTTTTTTTTTTTTTAATTTTGATTTTTTTTTTTTCAACATAGTCTTCTTTTAGACGTATGCACTTGGACCACCGATCCTCCAGTTTCCCAATACCTTCCATTTATCCAGGTCCTCAAAATAGGCGTTTGTTTCACAGATTACCTGTTCATTTGACTGAAATTTCTTACCACCAAGCCCTTTTTTTAAGTTTGGAAATAAACAATAGTCACAGGGTGCTAAATCTGGAAAATAGAGTGAATGGGGTAGAATTTCGTAGTGCGATTCACACAATTTCGACATGGCGCTCTTGGGAGCGGGAGCATTGTCCTGGTGAAACAAAACATTTTTCTTCGCCATGTGCGGCATTGTTTGCTTCAGCTCCGAATTAAATCGTCCCAAGAGATTGGAATAGTATTCTCCCGTAATTGTTCTGCCTTTTTCCAGATAATCCATATGAATTACACCTCGGGGATCCCAGAAAACTATTGCCATCACCTTGTTGGCCGACAAACCGATCTTTGCCTTTTTCGGTGCCGTTTCTCCAGTTGAAATCCATTGCTTTGACTGTTCCTTACTCTCTGGTGTATGGTGATGAATCCAGGTTTCGTCAACAGTCACAAAACGACGAAAAAATTTGTTTTTGTTTGCGTTAAGCAATTCCAAACTCTCCTTCGCAATGTGCAAGCGGTGGACGAAAGCTTACTCATGTGTAAAAATTCGTGTAAAATGTTTCCAACGCGTTGCCGAGAAATGTTTAGAGCATTTGCAAACTCTCGCAGCTTGATTCGGCGATTATCCAATATCATTCCATGGACTTTTCCACAATTTCTGGTGTTGTCACCTAATATCGGCGTTGGATTTCTCTTTTAAAAACATCAAGAAAGGAAAGCTAACTTCGGGCGGAGGCGAAGTTGATCTACCCTTGGAGCTTAAACTGGGTATATATCGCAAACATCGGATATAGTTGGCCGATCCTTATGAGAATATCATAATAAAACCAAGTAACAAAAACAAAAAATCTAAAAAAAAGTCCCAAGCTTCTATCTTTAAAAATACAAAATTAAATTTTGTATTACTATAAATTGGGTTATATTATTATATTCTCATAAGGATCGGCCAACTATATCCAATGTTTGCGATATATATCCGATTTTAACTGCAAGGGTATATTAACTTCGGCTCCGCCCGAAGCTTAATAGCTTAGCTTTCCATTCTTGTTTTGATTAGGATCAACAGGCTAGTCTATATAGCTGTCCGTATGAACGCGTTGATCTTAGATATTATAATAGATAAAGCTATAGGATTTTTCATGGATACTCCTCCAATGCCCACGTAGTTTAGGTTTGTTTCAAAATTTTGGCACACCCTCTTCCGCCTCACAAATTGCGAGTTTCTGTAGCGTCAGTACAGGAAAGTTTTTTGAAAAACTTTTCATGCCAAAATATTTAAATCGTTAATATACAAGTTCGAAAAAAAAAATTTCATCCCAATCGTCCTATTTTTGGAGGATATATGTATACTGCAAGGGTACACCTTTTCCAATATAAAAGGGCTGAAATTTAGAACTCGAAGTCGTGGATCTCGAAGACTATAAGAAAATGAGCTATCAGATAACCGCGCAGATGAAGTTTGTGTCAAAATTTGGCCACGCCCACTGCCGTCCATGAAAGAGAAATCTGGTTTTTGGAAAATGTTTTGATGCCAATGGCTTATCTACACCTACAAATCAAAAAGCCCCATAAATCGGATAATTTTTAGAGGATTTATAGACTTTTTATAACGCTTTCCTACTGAATCGGTAGTATGGATGTAAGTTTGTTGTTTTGCCCAAGCGCTAAAGGTTGCAACAAAATGTTGTTACAGAGAATACATACCGTTAAAGCTTTCACTTAGAGGTTAGTTGAATTTTGGTTGGAAGAGATGAGTACCGCGTATAATAAAGTCGGGAGACTCGACTATAGCCGTCGTCTCTTGTTTTTTTAAATTTATTTTTCTAGTTAACTAAAACGTTCTCCCATATTAGGTTTAAGCGGATCCAAAGCAGACGAAGAACATAGACGTGACACATTTGGTTCTAATATAATACCACCAAAACCACCTAAAACTTTTCTTACTCTAGTCTGGGAGGCTCTTCAGGATGTAACTCTAATTATTTTAGAGGTTGCGGCTCTAGTATCACTTGGCCTATCATTTTATAAGCCTGCCGATGAAGATGCACGTAAGTTGTTTGTTTTTATAAATTTCATGTTGTTACTATTTAACACTCTTTTTAACGAAAACAGCTGTGCTTCAAGAGGAGGAGGAACACCATGGATGGATTGAAGGACTGGCAATTCTTATTTCAGTTATAGTCGTAGTGATAGTGACAGCTTTCAATGATTACTCGAAGGAACGACAGTTCCGTGGATTGCAAAGCCGTATTGAAGGCGAACACAAATTTTCAGTTATTCGAGGCGGTGAAGTGTGCCAAATTTCTGTGGGAGATATACTTGTCGGCGATATTGCTCAGATTAAATATGGTGATTTATTGCCAGCCGATGGATGTCTCATTCAAAGTAACGATTTAAAAGTAAGAAGTAAATCCTTCATTTGTCCTAAGGAATAGGGTAATTTCGTTCCAAAAATTACACGTTTTTATAATTTTTATACCGGGTACTGTTTGGACGTATGTAACATAGAAAAGGAATCTCCGATCCGATCATCTCCGTGGGTCTCAGAGACTTTAAGGGTAGAGGTATAGGACTTGGAATGGAGACTTAATTATTATAAATTCCCACACAGTTCTTGATTGTTTCAGATTTTGTCACGTCTCCCGCCCCCACATATTTGATTTTTCTGCGCCAGTACAGATAGATATTTTGAAAAAGTTTTTCCACACTATTTCTTTGGCTAATTTACCATATATCTAGAAAACCAAATTCAGGAAAATTTTTAGAAGACTTATAAACTTTTTTTTGTGCATCCCTAATTGCGTCAGTTGTTATTTCCACAAAAAAAGTATGCACTCCATTTTTTTCCTGAGAAAATAGTTTTAAAGCAGTCACTATGGGGTCAATGACCACTTTTTCTGGCAGTATATATATTTCAAGTGAACCAAAAGAGGTTTTGAATGCGGTATTATGTTGGGTTAGGCTACAGAAAGTTACTATAAAAAAGTGACAGACTAAAAAATGGCGATTTTTATGCTCTAAAAAAGGAGTTTTCAAATAAATTGAAAATCCTTCGTTCACGGACTAGGTAATACCATAATAAATAAGTGGTCAAAATTTGGTGTTGATCGGATTGATAGTTTTTTTAGTAATCGTGTCCACTGCAAAGGTAATTTTGTAAAAACAAGATTCTGAGATAATCGCGTTTAAAGTTTCACGTTTGTTCAAGTTTTATGTGCAGGTAGTGCGCTATAAATAGCTACAACTTCGGTTCTAATGCACCGGTCGTTATGAATTTTTTTTAGAGTATTCTCAACAGTATATTTTTTCATCTATAACAACTGTATTTAACCCCTTAAGTCATTAAAAAAACAATCATGCATCAGAAGTTGCTCTCAGGTGGGGAATAAAAAATTACGTTGGCTTCATGGTTTGCAGTGCTGATTAGAATAATTTTTTAATAAAGAACAATTTTTTTTTAAGGTCGATGAATCTTCTTTAACTGGCGAATCAGATCATGTAAAAAAGGGAACAGACGTGGATCCAATGGTTTTATCTGGCACACATGTTATGGAGGGAAGCGGCAAAATGGTGGTTACAGCAGTTGGTGTAAATTCTCAAGCCGGTATCATCTTTACCCTTCTTGGTGCAGCAGTCGATGAACAGGAAGCTGAAATTAAAAAAATGAAAAAGGGTAAACAATTTACAGTCAAAATTAAAAAAAAAAAAAAAGATTAAAATAAATAAATAAAATTATACTTAAGCCTAAGAATAATTATCCAATCTCATAAGAATGATATAATAGGGCTACCCTCCTCTGCTATAAATTTACTTATGGTTATTTTTTTGTTTTCCTTTTGTTGCTATTTTTTCATATTCCAATTGTCATGTGTGAATTGCATGATGTGTTGATTGAACCATCATTGAACTCCTTCATCTACCCAACCAACCAATCTGTCAACCAACAAACCAAAATCTGCAAAATAAATCTTAACAAAATGGATACATTAATTGAATAATCAGAAGCTAAAAAGGCGACCAAGCAAAAGAGCTTGACAGGTGAAATATTTATATTTTTATTTTTAAGAATGAAAAGTTTGTAAAGAAAAAATATTGAAGCACGCAGGCCTCCTGACTTTACTTTCACAAGTGAATTTTATATTGAGGACACAACTTTAAAGAAGCCATCTTTGGATTTAATTTTCATAATTAAAAACCAACAGCTTCTGTTCAAATGATTTGAACGGTATAAGGCTTTTTTATCCCTATTTTAAATTCAAAACAATGAGGAAATTTGACTTTGGGAGGAACCCATTAATTATACCCTTGCAGTTATACATACATATTGCAAATATTGGGTGAAGTACATTTTTGACAAAAGTAACCTTAAACCGAAACAGGGCCGATCCCTGCTTTTCCTGCGTGCAAATGAAATAAGGACGTGTGTGTGTAAAGTTTCGATTCAAAAGCTGAAAAACGAGTTTGTTAAGAAAAAGTCTACAGACATATTTCCTAGAGGCGCCAGCGCATCATCGGTACCTCAAGGCGCAGAGACCCGCTTTGTTTACAAAAAGGGCTCTCGAGGAGGGGCCTTCCTTGTAACCGTAAAGGAAGGTCGTTCGTTATCCGTAACCTGCGACCCGTTCTCACAAACTAGTCTACCCTAGTTTCAAACAAGTGAAACTAAATAACTGGAATGAATGAAATGTGAAAAAAACCGGTTGTTTTTTCTTTTATTCGATGGAAAACGGTTTTAATTATGTTGAAATGTTTTAAATTCACATCGTGAAAGGAAAAATCGAAGCCTGCCTGGTTACCTAAAAAAACCTATTCATATAATTTCTTTTGAAAAATAATTTTAACTTAAAGGTATTAAAATACTTACTGTAAGAAATTTAATGTCGAGCTATAATTATACAAAACACCATCTTAAGATGGATTATAACATTGTGTCGTATTTCTTAAATATTCAGGTGAAAGCTCCCAAATAAAAAGTACCCAAGTACCACAACCAATCGTTAGTGAAGGAACCAAGTCGGAATCTGATGGAAATCATGTACCGCAATCGTCATCTTCAGCTGTTACTGAAGCAGGACATAAGAAAGAGAAATCTGTGTTGCAAGCTAAATTAACAAAATTAGCTATACAAATAGGATATGCCGGGTCAACAATTGCTGTACTTACTGTTATTATTTTGATTATTCAGTTCTGCGTTAAAACGTTTGTAATTGATGACAAACCTTGGAAGAACACATATGCAAACAATTTGGTAAAGCATTTGATAATTGGAGTTACAGTGTTAGTAGTAGCTGTACCCGAAGGACTTCCCCTGGCAGTCACACTTTCTCTTGCATACTCTGTGAAGGTTAGTTGAATTCTAAAGTTCACATCTCCTGTATGACACAAAGAAATTTTATTTTTTTCAGAAAATGATGAAAGATAACAATCTGGTGAGACATTTGGATGCATGCGAAACTATGGGTAATGCTACAGCCATTTGTTCTGACAAGACTGGTACACTTACAACTAACCGAATGACTGTTGTACAATCGTACATCTGCGAAAAACTCTGTAAGGTTTTGCCCACCCTTACTGATATCCCACAACATGTGGGTAATTTAATAACTATGGGAATATCTGTAAATTCAGCTTACACTTCAAACATTATGGTAAGTTTTTATTGTTATTTACAATTGCGCCTTTAATTTAAAGATTTAAAGCCTTCGTTTAACATTATGTTTCTTTATGGTACTACACCACTTTTATTCTCATAAAAAAAAAAGTTAAAAAAAATTTTTAATTTTGTTTATACGTTCGCAGAGTATATTATAATTGTGTCCACAAGTGTGCAACACAGTAAAGGATACATCTCCCACCTTAAAAAGTATATATATTCTTGATCAGGATCACCTTCTGAGTTAATATAAACATGTCTGATTGTCCGTCTGCCTTTTTCTACGTAAACTAGTTTCTCAGTTCTAAAATATCGTTTTCAGAAATATCGTTTAGAAAGAATAAAGATGGCTGATTTTTATGAAATTTTGTAAATCAGTTCAAAATTAAACAATTACATTTTAAAAGATTCCATAGATTAATTGAATTTCAAGAAACTCCCAACCTTACATATATCTAAAAAAAAAAAATAAATAAAAGTTTTATAGTGTCCGATCGTTCAGTTTTACGAAATCTAAAGGATATAATTATTAATCTGATCCTTAGTACGAGTTGATCAGTTTTTTACCCAAAAAGGTACCAAAGTTATGGAATTTCTAATCAATTATTTATACGGCAACTATATCATATTATCGTCCGGTTTTAGCGTTCCGACTTATATATATGTCTGCAAAGTTACAACCGATAGCTTTAAAACTGAGGGACTAGTTCGCTCATAAAACTGACAGACGAACATGCTTATATGAAAAATATATATACTTAATAGGGTTGAAGATGTCTCCTTCACTGCGTTGCACGCTTTTGACCGCAATTATAATTCCCTCAGCAAGGGTATATAAATGGAGATACGGTTAAAAAAGGGATTTTTATTTAAAAACCAAAAGCGTAAAAGGCAAATGTATGCATCACAAATTTATATTTGTTTAAATCAATTTTTTCATTAATTTTTCCTTTCACATGAACGAGAGCTGTCGTTTTGTAATATATAAAAGTCCAAATCGGAGCTTGTTACTTTTACGTTTTAGGTTAGAAAAAAATTCAAATTTGATGTAGGTATGTCTTTTCAGTTGAAATGCACGAGAATGTCGCATTTGACATTCGATTCGTTCTTTATATGATTATTTTTATTCTTCTTTTTCTTTTCCACATAGCCTGGACAAAACCCAGGAGACCTACCAATCCAGGTTGGCAACAAAACGGAATGTGCACTGTTGGGCTTTGTTCAAGGATTAGGTGTTAAATACCAGTCTATTCGTGATGAAATTCCAGAGGATAAGTTTACCCGCGTATATACTTTTAACTCTGTTCGTAAAAGTATGGGCACTGTTATACCACGTCCTAATGGCGGGTTTCGGTTATACACCAAAGGAGCTTCAGAGATAATCATGAAAAAGTAAGTAAATCAAACAAAAAAATAAACAAGAAAGAATGCTAACTTTGGGCGAGGCGGAAGTTAACATAACCTTCAGAAAAACCGATGTATATAAAAAACAAGAAAGGAAAGCTATCTTCGGGCGGAGCCGAAGTTGATCTACCCTTGCAGCTAAAACTGGATATATATCGCAAACATCGGATATAGTTGGCCGATCCTTATGAGAATATCATAATAAAACCAATTAATTATAATATAAAATCTAAAAAAAAATCCCAAACTTCTATCTTCAAAAACCATTTCCGATCGTTCAGTTATATGGCAGCTATAAGATATAGTCGGCCGATCGTTATGAAATTTGGTAGGTCGGATAAACTGACTGAAACTGAAAAACATAATCTGTTTCAAGTTCCACCTTTCTATTTTCAAAAACACGAAAGTTGGGTCATTTCCGATCAATCAGTTATATGGCAGCTATAGGATATAGTCGGCCGATCCTTTTGAAATTTGGCATGTCGTAATGGTTTGCCAAAAAAAGCTTTCGTGTCAAATTTCTAACTCTTTGACTCTAAAAATACCAAAGTTATACCATTTCCGATCAATCAGTTGTATTGCAGCTATAGGATATAGTCGCCCGATTCCGGCCGTTTCGACTTATATACTGCGTGCAAAGGAAAGAAGGGTGTGTGCAAAGTTTCAAGTCGATAGCTTTAAAACTAAGTGACTAGCTCGCGTAGAAACAGACAGACAGACATGTTCATATCAACTCAGGAGGTGATCCTGATCAAGAATATATATACTTTATAGGGTCGGAGATGTCTCCTTTACTGCGTTGCACACTTTTGGACAAAATTATAATACCCTCTGCAAAATGGGCCATTGATGGCCGATCATTATGAAAACTTTATTATAAAATACATATTTTCAAAAACAAAACTTTCAAAACAAAAATTTTATTTGCTTAAAATCATAGCTTGCAAATAACAGTTAACCGATTCGTGCGGTCTCAAAATAGGTGTTCGTCACTGAGACTTTGAGCAAAAAGTCTGAGAGCAACCGATTGAATCAGCCGAAGAACAGTTTTTTCTGTTTTCGTTTGCTCTGAACCCACGTTCCAACATTTTAACACGTAATTCCATACATATATAGCTCTGGTATGAACTAGGATAAACCAAATCGGTGAAGTTTTTCTTTACGTTTCAGGTTGATTCGTGGCTAAAAAAAAACTCAATTTTAAAAAAATAATTTTCAAAGGTCCGCCATTTTGTTAATTTTTGAGCAAAGTTAATGAAAACTTAAACCTGAAACTAAAACTGAAAACCCTTAAAAAGAAAACTATTCATTTTTTAATTAAAATAATCAACATATTAGTTTAAAATTTGAAAAAGGCACGTTTAAAATTTTAAGAAGTTTATTTGTGAAAATGGCATATTAAAATAGGACACAACGTACCACTGTGCAACGAAACGAAGACAAATTATCGAAAAGACTTTTTTCGCTGACTTTTTCAGTCAATCAGTCTTTTAATGAGTCTCTCTGCGCGAGCTTCACTCGAATCTCTCATTGAGCGATTTTCGGTAAACGAGAGTTTCATGATCGGCTCATTGTAATGCGTTCAACAGAAAATCGAAACAAAAAGAAACAAAGTCTGCTGCTCAGAGAGAAACCGAAACGGCATGCTTTTTTTCGGTTGTTCTCGCGAACAGAGCGTAAGGAAAAAAACGGTTAACAGTTATTTGCAAGCTATGTTTAAAATATAATATGTAAGTAAATATAGATTGATTTGTATGATAATGTAGTAGTTGGTTATCCCTCGCTGTAGTCGGTGATGCCGCAGATGTAGGAGGTACGTCTTCAGATAATTACCCCTTGCGGTTGCAGGGGGGGTGTTGCCACTCCTTATAGGCAGTGGTTGAGATCCCTGGCGGTTGCCGGGGGGAGATCCTTCCTGTGACACGAGTTATGATGGGAGTACTTGCCCCGTTGTCACGGCCCTTGAGGCGCGGTGACCAATTCAACAAATGAATTTATAAATTAACGGCAGTGCCGGAGATTGGTTTTATGCTCTTTATTGTATGAGACTCTGACACAAACTGAAACTTAAAGCTAACAAAAAGTATTTCATAGCGGCCAGTGCTTGCCGCTATGCATGGGCTTCCGACCAGACGCTATGTCAGCAGTTTGGCCAGAGCGAGCTCTTAAATAATCGGACATTGCCGCTGCTTGGTTAACTTCAGTTAACTACTCCCCCCTCAAGAATGAGGCCGCCCTCGGCCGACCCTATTTGGGCAATCATCTCCTTCAGCTGGGCCGCGGTTTTTCGGGCCTGAGTGACTCGCCGATAGGTCAAGCCGATGCAAATTAAAGCGCAGCATATTGCTCCCGCTATGAACACCAACTGATGTAGTCGCTGGTGATTAATCTCCTTCCCGAACTCTTTGATGTGCTCCAGATTACGTTCACTCAGTCGGTGAAGGTATGGAAGGCTAAGAACGTTACGTTCCATGGTGATGTTCAGGGAAGGTGAGCTGGCCACTCCTGGAGCCCTCTTCTGGGCTGTGTCATGATTGACCAATCGGGTTTCGTTGACCATGACACTCTTCTCAAACGTGATGAGATATGTGCCTTTTATATGGGCACAGGTGCCATTGTCCACACACACGTGGGCCGAGCGATCATTCACAATTACTATTCCTTCATCAACATAAGTGATGGGGTGTAAATCGCTTTGCTGGATCTCGCAATGCGACGTGCCTCCAGCGTGAAGCTCTTGGGCGCATGATCTTCTGCGAGCCAATCGGCAAAATGTAGCTCCTGATGTCGGGGAGCACTTTTCCACGGTGTGGATCTCACTGTTGCATTCGGCGATGACGTCATCTTCCAGCCTAAGCATGGTGTCGTGATGTGACACTGGGAAAACGGTAATCTTGCTGCAGGCCGACTTTATCTTTGGAAACTTAATAATAAAATGTAATATGTTATCGGACTGTAAGATCTTAACGGACGATTCGGACAAAACATCCCTAATCGCGGTCTCGGTGGGCTCTTCCATCCACACACCTTCCAGGTCTGCATGATCTAGGATGCTGGGGCTAACAATATTAACTTTGGCAAGTGCCACTGCTAGCATCAAACCCTGTAGTTCCATTGCTATCATCCTATTTCGAGTTAAAATCATCTCGAATAGGTGTCCAGTATCAATTTGGGACTTTTTTGTTGACCTCAGAAGTTGGTTGACGGTAGCGGAAATTTTATTGATTTGAATTTGTACTTTGTTGCTAATATTAATCTGCCTATTGTTTGCATTTGCTAATTGGAATAGATTAAATTTAATTTTTTAAAATTCTTCTGCGTCCGGCGTTCCTGTCACCACCTTTAGCGCAGTCCCTAAGAAGTCTAAGCTTCTTGCTACTCTATGGTGGACGCTCAAAGAGTCGAGCATGTCGCGTAGGTGGGCGACGTCAACAACCAGGAGTTTCTGCATGTGGGATTGCGGGAACATGACGGTCATCCCATTAGTTTCTTCGATGACGCGCCTATATTCCGAGAGATTTGCTGAGTGCTTTACAAAGGCAAATTCCTCCCATATCAGGATTCGCCCATCCACGATGGGAATGTATTTGGCTTTGGAATAGTCCGTGACGCGTGCCGAAGTTGTGGCCAAAAGGAGAATCAGGGATATGGTTGAAAACCTGTAATTTTGATGTGTTATGAATTTTGTCGAAGTTGGGTAGCCCACCACCAAAGCATGATTAAAATAATAAAGGGCGCAAAACGGTTTTCTCTTCACATAATGGTGAGAGTTTGTTGCCTAGGCGTCTGTTGGACTTCACTAGGACTTTCTCGCCAACCTCGAATACTCTATTTTGGCGGGAAGCGTTTTCTCTGTCCCGGAGCTTGTCTTGGGCGAGTTTAATTTTATCTTGAATTTCATATTGTGGCTCACCTGATTGTGCCTGAACCACGTCGGCCGGTCTCTTGTCGATGACCGAGTGGATGGACTTGTTATATCTGGCAGTGGCCAGAAGTATCAGCTCTACGGTATCGCTGATGCCTTTATCGATTTTAAGACATCTAGCAAGCTCTACCAAAGCGCTGTGGAAACGCTCCACTTGTCCATTGGAGACACTGTGTAGGGGCGGAGCATTTGAGATGCTAACGCCGAAATGGTTTTCCAGCATGGTCACGATGGTGTGCGAGTTCAACGATGGTTCGTTGTCGCAATATACGACCTTGGCCTTAGGGAAAATATTCATCAGCTGTAGTAATGCTGGTTTGAGATCCTCTATGGTCCTAGAGGGAACTGGTTGGACTACGGCAAATTTCGAGAATTTGTCGATGCACGTAAGGAAATATTTTTTATCCGTGGAGAAGATGTCTATGTGCAGCATTTCTCCTACTTGAGATGGGATTGGGGTTTCGCCAAGCTCTTGTTTCTTCGGATGCCTGTCGTATTTTGCTTTGGCGCAAGTCCTGCACGAAATGACTATTTCGTTCGCTAGCTTGGCCATTTTCGGGAAATAGTACTCGGAGAGTACCTGCTTCACGTTTTCTTGGGCAGATCTGTGAGCTCTGTTGTGCTCGACAGTAAGAATTTCCCGCCTTTCATCAACTGCAAAAATGTCCGTTACTCGGTTTTTGCAGTGCCAGAATCTGGTGGCAGGGAATTGTCGGATTAGTTTGTCCTGTATCACTGCAAGCGTATGCAGATCGCAATGAATGGCGTTTACGCCTTTAGGAACTATTATGGTTGCGAGCTCCTCCAGCAATGACTCCTCGTGAGTGAAGTCAATAATATGCCGTCTCTTGTTTCCAAAGAGAACGAAGTTTCGCTTTGACGGAGAGCGTGCTTCCTCCAGAATTATCTGGTTTTGAAAGCAATTGAGGGGCTTGTCAGTGGATTAAATTGTGTGGGTAAGCGACAGCTCACTGTGAATTGTGGCCGCGCTTGAGAATGCCTCTTCTTCTTCTACAACGTTGAGTTGTTGCCTCGAGAGGGCATCTGCAACTAGGTTGGCCTT